GGGAAAGATCAGCAACTGCCCAACCACACGCATGCATTTTCTGTGGTGGCTCCCATTGTGCGGAATGGCCATTCTGAGGAAGTCAGGAAAGCTCCCGCACTCTTGTCATTCGGCCCACTACGTAAAACAGGATGGTTCAGGAGGGGATTTTAATAAAGGTAAGAGGGCTATAGGATAATGGAATGGTTCAGGAAGGAGCTTTTATAAAATGCACAGGACTGTGGACTGTATCACAGTATATTGCGCATTGTTTTCTGTATGATCCTGCTCTTGCTGCATTGCTTCCTACCTTTGTAACATCATTTTCTGCATTGTCTGAAATACCACGTGCACTTACACTTACTTTTGCTCTGTTTCAAATTGGTGTAATCCTAGTCTTATTGCATTGTTTATTAGATGTCTCATGTGAATTACTGCATTGACTTGCACTGCGTAACCCATTCTGAGGCTCAGTGAGGAAGGATGACCATATATAAAGTAAATAAAATAAAGTGCACAGGACCAGGCTGTGAGTAGGATTCTTTTCCAAGCGAACAAAGATAGGCTCAAGTCAAGGGTGTAGACTTTCCAATTCACATACACCGGGTGAATGAGACTCCTGTGGGTTAGCACATACCAGCAAAAGAAGATTTGTGCTCACTTACCTCCGGAACTAAATTCCTTATTATTTGTCTCCTGTTTTGTCAAAACTATTTTTTTCTATTATTGCCAGTTATTGTTAATGATCAATGTTGTTTTCATTGTTTGTTATTTACTATAAGTTGTAATGCTGGTTACTATTTGAAAATTTACTAAAAATTATTTTTAATTTTTTTTAAAAAAACCAATTACCCCAGCAATAAGAATTCTACCGGACTGTTGTGAAACACTGTCCTGTTCTCTCTGTCTTTTCTTGACTTTCTTCTGAGTCTGCTCCAACACCTTTTTAATCCCTTCATTCCTTACTCTTTCTCTCTCTGCTTCACTCCCCCCACCCCTGCAGGCTTTTAAAATCAGCCCTGCTAACTGCTAATTCTGTTCTAGCCAATTGCATAGAGAATCCACCCTTGGAAGATTTGTGACAGGATTCACACTTTTTACCTCAACTCCTTCCTTTTTTACATAGAAAATTTACACCTGAAAGATGTGTGACGGATTTCACACCAGCCCCTCATGCTGATTGGAGGGGCGTGACAAATTATTGATGGGGCACCGCTCCTTTTTTTGCACACCGTGGCCACGGTCCTGCCTTTGTCTGGGTTCCTTATGAAAACGCCTTCTTCTTAAAAAGTAAAATTAAGTTATTTGTATGACTGATAATGGCCCCGGTCACACAGGCCAGATAACGTGGGGGGGAGCTGTGGCTGTTTGTCCTGGAGCAAAATAAAGTGCGGTAGCCCAATCACACAGTCCCCCGAGTCTTTGCGCTTAGGCTGTTAGCTGGCGATCACACGGCGATGCTGCAGCATGGCAAAAAAGCAGCATGGCAAACGTTTCGTGTTAGTGCATATGCGCAGTTCCGCAGAGCAGCACTGCTGTCAGTTATGTGTTTGTGCGCATGCGCTTACGAAAAACATCCAGTTTGCGACGGGACATGGACAGGTGCCGGATGCCATGGGATACTAGCGCTCCCGCGATCAGATGCCCACCCCTGCCCCACGTTTTCCAGATACTAGTGGACTTTCCAAGGTAGTTTTTTACTGCGCATATTCGGCGGGGCACCACAGGTGCGCTACGCTTCCCAGATGTTGCGGTGTGATCGCACCCCAAAAATCCGCCTGACATTCGTGCCTTTAGTGCGGCAAATCCTCCGTGTGAACGGGGCCAATGATAATTAAGCGTATTTAATTGTTGGGCCATTTCAGTGTCCTAAATGACTGCTTCCTAATAGGTGCCTCCCCCCCAAAATTGTGACATAGTGATGGAGCAAGGGGGAGTAATATTCTAGGTAGGCTGGGCAATGCTCCCTCTAAGCTGTGGGGTCTTGTGAGCAAAAATTCTGCTTTGTGAGCTCCTGGCATTAAAGTTGTGAGTGAGCGATTTGACTACTGCTTACATTAGTTTGCTTTGGAGCCCTCCTTCCTGAGCTAAGGCAAAAATGTGTGAGCCAGAGGCTAAAGAACTGTGAGCTAGCTCACACTAACTCATCCTAGAGGGAACACTGAGGCTGGGTATGGATCCAATTTGTCACAAAGGGACAAATAAAATAAACACTGCAACAAGAAACAGCCTACAATCTTTTAAAAATATTTATAATGCATCTAGCTTGTCCCTGTGATGAACGCAGACACAGAATATGGCAAGATCTGAAATGCTAATTATACTTGGTTAGATGCACAAGCATGTGGGCTAAAGTTTGCAATACACGAAACACTGAAAGCAACCAATCTTAAGTCAACACAGCAAAAGCCAAAGGAACGTTTATCTCCATGTCTGGAAACCCAGCAGAGAGCAGAGGGCTTCAGCGGCAGGGAGCCGGCCACCAAGAAGAGGCGGAGCAAACGTGCCTGTCCCCAGAAGGGATGAGCACCAGCTCCGGGGCGGTCTGGGCTTACCTGGGATGGAAGCAGCACCCGGAGAGCCAGTCCGTGTGGCCTTCACCTTTCATGATGATGTTGCCATTGGGGAAGGCCCACATTTTCCACAGACGGTCATCGCTGCCTGTGACGACGATGTCTTTCCTGGGGTGCAAAGCCAAGCTGTGTGGAAGAAAAGGGGTGCCCGTTAAGGAATGGTATCAGGATAGTGCCATCGTTTGCTACATGCGGCACGGACAACAGAAGATGCCACCATCTGCCCCAAATCCCACCGTCTGGGTTAGCTTCT